AGCTGGTGTGATGAAATTTTTGGCAGTAGGTGCATGAAATTCCTGTTTTGACATTTTTGCCGGAACACACTAAACCACATTCTCCTAAAAGGGCAGTGACCAATGGCGCGGTACTTGTCGGTATACTTCGTCGTTCGTGCCCTGTGAAGAGCAAGGGGACTGACGTTCGACAGAGGTCTTGCGGAGAGAAATCAGTGACTGAGATAACGTGTGATTCAGCAAGGAAAGTCTGTGGAGAACAATAAACGGGAAACAGCCAATGCGTTTTGATCGATATGATCGTCGATCGGGGAGTGGACACACGTGCAAGTTTGATGGCAAACGGCACAGAATTGAATTGTACACAAATATATCCGTGTCTCTGTTCAAAATTAACGCAGAGAGATGAGCACAAGCTCTTCAAAATGATGTCACAGGAAATCCATTAGGTAGGTATACAATTGAGCACTATTGCGCTTTTTAATGACACAACGAGGTCGGTGTAGAAAACCGAACGGCGTGAATGATGGAGGAGTCGAATATATAACTAATATTTTAGTATCACTGAATGCAGCTCAGAAAACTGAGCAGAAAGAGTGTAAACTCGTCGCAGTACGCTGTGTTTTGGCGCAGAAACTTCACCTAATCCGGGAGCGCATTAACTGTATCGACGTGTGATATCATGGCGGTTTCTATATAGATCTAGATCGTTCTTATTGTGAATTGCGTACAAAATGTAAACCGTGTCAAAATGTGTACGCCTGTTACACAAATAGGCAAAGTAATTTAGGGTTTTACTTGACATTGGCATTTTGATTATCTTGCTAAGATGAAAGTTCCGAAGAAAGTTCATTTACTGGAAGAAGTGGGATACCCTTACCATTGCCAGTAGTTCAAATCTAGTTTCCCTTGGGGCGTAATGTATATAAATGCGTACAAAAGGAATGAAGTGAGAGATGTCCCTTTAAATAAGACGATGTTTTCGTGTTGTTTATTGTGTACTTTTTGCCTTTCGTGTTTGTTGTTTATTGACATTTTTTTGCAACATTTATTGCAAAATGAATCTCGCTTCATCAAATCTCTCTTCAATCTGCTTCCCTTCACTACTTACTCAAGGGTCCGGGCTACGATCTGGACCTACATTTTACTGTGAACTTTGCAAAGTAAGCTGTGTTGGTGCAGGAGCTTTCACCGATCACGAAAAAGGTCAGCGTCACCAAAAGCGTTTATCCCAGGTGAGTTGAGGATCTTCTGAAACGAAGCACTTTTGAATTTATCAGAAATGTCTTCGACAGGACTAACTAATGTTGACGTATGTATACACACCTCTCCGACCATTTCATTAACTTGGTGATTGAGTTTTGACGTTGTCCCCTTTTTAAAGTAATTATCACTAGTAATCACTTCAGTATTATTATTTCTATCACTGTCTATCACTATCCACGGTAGCGTTTTATCTCTAGTAGTAGACTGATACTTGACCGATAGTAAATAAATAAATATGGGCTGTATTTTCTTGAATGAATGATATATTAACCCAGCTGGTTGCAGTTCGAAAAAGACAGAGACGTATTTCGCTGTTGCGTGCGACGTTAGTTTGTCGGGCCCATTTCTGCGCATGAGTTCTCTTTGGGTGTTTCGCTGCTTTCCAGGCCGCTATGTTCTACTTTTCCTACCGGTTCTTTGCGTGTTTAAACTCCCAGCATCCTTCACTTGAAAGTAGCTATTGTAC